AAAAAAAAAAATACTAAAGGGAGTCCTGGAAGCTGAAGTGAAAGTATACTAGATGATAACTTGAGTCCACACAAAGAAAGAAAGAACTGCAGTAAAGGTAACTGGGTATTATGAAAGACAGTGTAAACGTTTTTATTTATTCTGTCTTTAAAAGGCAATTGCATAAAGCAATAATCACAAAACTGTTGGGGTGGCCAGTTAGCTCAGGTGGTTAGAGCGCAGTGCTCATAACACCAAGGTTGCCAATTCAATCCCCATGCCCTCCACAACTGGATTGAAAACAAGTACTTGACTTGGAGCTGATGGGTCCTGGAAAAACGCCAGTGCCCCAATAAATAAAAATTTTTTTAAAATAATTTTTAAAAAACCACCTGTTAACAGGCTTATAATGTATAATGGTGAAATATGCATGAGAAGAATGGTATGAAGGAGTGGGGAGGGTCTAGAGCTATAAAGCAAAGTTTTTGTACACTATTAAAATTAAGTTAGTATTAATCTGAACTATATGGACTTAAATTAAGATGATAATTGTAATCCCCAGAACAACCACTATGAAAATAACAAAAAAAATAAAGGAAGCAAACAGTAGCTAGGCTGATCAAGAAAAGAGAGACCCAGAACCAATTTGTAGTTGGTTCCTTAAATTGATCTACAGCTTCAACACAATCCCTATTAAAAATCCCATCTTTTTGATCAGCAGATACTGACAAGCTGATCCTAAAATTCCTATGGAAATGCAAAGGACCCAGAACGAATGGGCATGGTGGCCGCAGGCCCAAGACCCCAGCACTGTGGACTGTCCTCAGTCACCCTGTGAGCTCTGGGATCACTTAAGCCACTCAGAGATCAAGGAGGAAGAAAATGCACAGGGGACTCAGAGGAGATGTGCAGACAGCGAGGGAGAGAAGATGAGGGTTTCCCCAGATTTTCATTTGTGAAGTAGTCCCTTTTCTATCATTTAGGATCTGACTCTGAGGCCAGTCTGATGTTAGTCAATCAAATCCTTGCTTTGCTCAATAAGCCTTTCCCATCAGTAAAATGGAGGTTATCATACCTACAGCCACTTGTGAGGTTTAAACAAACACTTAGTAAACGGTAGTGATGACTATTATAAAGCAGTAAAAAAAAGTGTGGCTATTAAGAGGGTTGTGTCCTGAGTTTGAATTCTGGCTCTATCATTTCATAGCTACAACATCCCTGAGACTCTGTTTCCCTTCCCTCAGCCATCAGATTGTTAGCATTGAGGGAGGCAGCCGTCCTGCACCTGCCCCTGCTCACCCCTGCCTCCCGCCCTTCCATCTCTTCTCCACGCTACAGCCAGCGGTAACTTCTGAAATAGCATCAGATCACACCGCTTTCTTACTTAAAAGCCTCCATTTGGTTTCCACGGCTCTGTGAAGAAATCCACCCTCCCTAACCACATCCTGCAAGACCTCCTATGACGGGGCCTCTGCCCACCACTCTGACCTCATGACGTGCCCTCTTTTCCCCCTCACTCTACTTGGGTTTCATTCATTTTCTAAAATCCACAGATAACTTCCCACCTCAGAGCCTTCTGTTCAGGACACTCAGTCATCACCTCCCATGTAGCCACTTATTCTTAAGGTCTCCACTCAAATGTGACCTCAGGGGCCTAGTCACCCTCTCCGAGATGGTCCCCATTACTCACTGCCACAACTGTTTCCTGTGGCCCTACTCACCGTGTCAGGACTCTGCTCAGGTATTTGTAGTCTCATGTTTTGTCTCAGGCTCCCCTGTTAGATGCTGACCATAGTCCCAGGGAGTAGATGATCACTTCCTGGCAAGGAGTAAACATTCCATAGGTGTTTGAAGGATGAATGAAGTGCCTGGCATGATTCCTCGCATGCAGTTGATGGTCCCATTTGTTACTTGCTCTTGAACTGTCAATGAACGGAGTGATTCTGGGAGATGAGGGGTTTTTTGCTTACCCTCCCAGCTTTCTGGGAATAGGACAGGAAAGAGAAGACAAGATCTGTTGGCATTTTTAAAAGGAGATAAGGGATGAGGTCTGGTTGTCTGAGAGTCTTAAGGAAAGGGGCGCTTGGCAGGGGGGTGACCCATGGCATGCGTGTTCCCTGCAGTCAGTGAGCAGATCCTCAACCTCTGTCTCCCAAAAAGCTATTGACCTTTAGGAGAAAAAAGTTCAGCTAGGGCTCCAATGAGGCCTGGAAGACTGGCTCTGGGACACTGTCATTACTTCATAGGATAAAAGGGTTGGTTTGGTGTTTGGGGAGAAAGTAGAGGAAACACGGTAATATCCCAGGCCTCAGCCAAACAGGAGATTGCCTAGAAGAGTAACCTCAAGGACCCTTAGAACATGCTGGCACATTGGCTCAGAATTCCAGGAAAACCTGAAAAACCCATCAGGTCATCCGGCCCACTCAATGGTGGGGTGGGTTGGACTCTGATGTGGTAACCTGGAAGGGCTTAGGCCCCCACCCAACCAGAATCAACGATAAATCTCTCAGTTTCAGAGGAGACAATAGGGTAAGTGGGGCCAGTAGGCGTCTAAGGAGCAGAAAGCAAAAATGAAACATGATAGGGGCTGAAACTATTGTAGATCCTCAGACAAGAATTTTTCAAACTGTGGGTTTTGACCTATTAGAAGGTCATGAAATCAATTCAGTGGGTTGTGATCAAAATGCTCAGAATTTAACAGAAAATACCCAAGTGCACTGTACATAGTGCTGTTTCAATAAATGTCTCTGTGTGTACATGTCTAAATTGTTGAGATGAAAAATATATTTCTTACCATTAGTTTAAAAAAAATTAGTTTGAAAGCTGCTGCTCTTGAAAGGGTGGACAGACACCACGAAGGGTGATCCCATCCAAAGGGCAGGAGGCTGAGACCCAACCCAGGGGCCTGCTGGGGGTAATCAGACCCTACTTGGTTTTGGGGGGAAAGCATTGGGTTCGGGGTCAGGCAGAGCTGGATTCAAATCCCAGCTCTGCATCTTACTAGCTGTATGACTCCGAGCCAGACACCTAACATCTATGGCTTTGTCACTTGCAGATGTAAGTAATGCCAGTAGTGACCTCACTGGTGGTGGTGAGATGCCTAGCCGAGAGCCAGCACCCATAAGAGTTAGGGGTGTTCTCACCAGCGGCTCCATGATGTTGGTTCAAAGGGCCCTTGGGGCAGCAGCCTCACAGGTGCTTCCGCCCTTCCTCCCCCTGCCCTGCCTGCTAAGCTGCGGGGCAGCTGGCCGCCTGGGATTTCCACCCCCCACCCATCCATCCCAGCACCTTCCAGGGTGAAGTTGAAAAATAAGAAGACAGCAGCCTATAGAAAGGAGATCCAGGAGAAGAAAAAGAAACAAGTTTTATTTAAGCCCCAAACACGCGGCTAGAAAAACCAAAAAGGAAAGAGAGAGAGGAAGTGGGGAGAAGAAAAAGGACATTAAAAAAGAGAGACAGAGAAAACACAGCAACCCTTTTCCATTTAGAAATTGTCAAGTTACACTGACAGAGGTCACAGAATATCCACAGAAGCCATCACTGCTACACCAACACGGGCCCTACGGGTGGGGGGTGGGGTGCGGAGCCCCGCCAGGGACTCCTCTCAGAGCCTTGGGCCTGAGGCTCCTGGGGAAACAGCATATAGTGGAAGGGGCGGGAGAGAAAGCCCCCATGCGAATAACACAGCACAGTGGGCAGGGGCTGGGGGGACCAGGTACAGGGGCCCCCCCAGACAACTTAGTTTTCTCTTGGTCAAGCACACACTGATGGACAGAGCAGCGAGGCGCATGCATCTGGGCGGGGGGCATTGACGTGCTGCGGGCTTTGAGAGGCCCGTGGGGATGGGGGCTCGGGAGGGCAGCTGGAGCAGGTGGTGCAGGGACAATGGAACACACACAGGCACTCCCACACGCCTGGGTCTACACCCATGTGCACATGCACACAGGTCACACACACCTCCACATACACCCCGTCCACACGTGGTCCATATACCTACAAGTCTCTTGCAGCTACACACATCTGCACACACACATTACATGCGTTCTCACACACAAAGCTCTTCCACACCAATGTACAGGTGGGCACGTGCTGATGCCCAAGCAGGTTACATGCACCTAGGCGTACACACCTCCCTGCACACACGTGTAGTAGGTCACACCTGTACACACACATGCTTCCCTCCATACACAGGTAAGTGGACTTGTGCCAGTGCACACACACAGGCTGCATACAACTCCATGCAAATGCCTCTCAGCCCGAAATGTGCAGGAACCAAAGTGAAAGAAAGATGCAAAGCCCACTGGGCTCCACGTGAGTGGGTGGGGTGGGGCTCAGGGCTCCCTCCATCTGCCCCCTCATGGATGGACACTTCCCCCACCTCCTCCTCCCCCTACAAAGGGACATTCAACTCAGGACAATGACGGTGGGGCACACTTTCGGGTCACAGGGCTGAGGGTGGGAGGTGGGAGCAAGTGAAAAGTAGCAAGCAAAGAGTAATGGAGTGGAGGGAGGAGGGGGCACCACTCCCCCCTCCCCTCCCAAGTCAGGGGTCTCTGTACAGCCAAATCAAACCGAACCATGTCACTGGGCCACAGAAGCCAGGCTGATGTATCCATCCTCCAGCCTCCCTCCCCCGCCAAAACAGTGGCCAGGGAGAGAGCGCCGTGGTTTTCTTTTTTTTTCTTTTTTAAATATTTATATATATTTATATTACGTATATTATATATATATAATATGTAAATATATTTTTAAAACAATATAAAATGTTAAGACACTTCACTTAAATGTAAAGAGTTGCCTGCAATTAAAAGTAATTGCATCATTTATGAGGTCCTTTTTTTTTTTTTCTATTTTCCAGGTTTTTTTTTTTTTTCGGGAGGGATTTTTTTTTTTCCTCTTCTTTTGTTCTTTTTCAAAAAGGCTTACTTGCCTTTGTACAAAAATGATCCAAAGCTAGAAAACAAGGATGAACTAACAAAAACAAAACAAAAAAAGAGAAAGAAATGAAGAAACACAACCCAATTTCCCCTCCCTCCCCAACCCTCAATAGCTCCCCCAGACTTTCCCGAAGAGAGGACCTTCCTGCCAGGCCCCAGGGTCTATGAGGTGCTGCCCCTTCAATGGCTCCTTCTTTCTGTGCTTACTTGGGAGATTAAACCCAAACCCCTGTCCCCTGTGCTTACCCCACTTTGTGCTCCAAATAGGAATCCTGCTCCCTGGGGACCCTGCTCCAGCCTCCTCCTCCTCCTCCCCCACCCACATAATCTCTCTGCTGGCCCCTCACTCTGCCCTCTAGGAGGCCAGAGCTGAGAACCAAAATTGGTCTCTCCCTCCCCATCTCAGGACCCCCTGCCAAAAGCCTTACTGCAAGGCAGGCTTTCACAGATTGGGGGCGGCCCTAACTGGCTGGTCAGACCTCAGGGACCCTCAAGGATCTTAACCAGAGTTCACCCCTCCCCAGAAAACCCTCAAATCTCAAAGAGGATGGTTGACGGTAAAGTCACCCCACCCCTGGAGTCAGTACTGCTCCCCATCAACCCCCTCTGTATTACCCCATTTCCCTCACAAGACCCTTCCCACCCTCCAGGCCTCAAAATTTAATTATCTAGGCCCTTTATCCTTGCCCACCCACACCCATTAAATAAGTTAATGTCATTTAAAGTGCTAAATTAGGAAACTAAAAGTACCAAATACCCCTCCTCCGGGCTGCCCTCTCCCAAGGCAGTGTCCCCAGTATTAGGCTGTCTGCTCAACCCATCGTCCACAGCCAACAGTCCAAAAGGGCGCCTTCCTCCCGTTGGCGCAGGCCAGGTGGCTCCTCGCCACAGGAAGAAGGGAGTCCCAGAAAGCCAACTCCTCTCCAAGGACACACAAATTCAAGGGCCTTGCACACACTGTCCCCACCCTGAGGCCCTCAAACTCCGGCCTCCTCCTTCTCCAGCCCATCCATCTTGACTCCAGGCCCACCAGGGCATGTATGGAAGAGAGCAGAGGGGCAGCAGAGTTCAGTCACGTCCCAAGGCTGGACAGGTGGGGCGCCTCCAGGGCCAGAGCCTCCCTGCGCTCCATTTTCCAGCCTGATAGCGGAGTTGGTCCAATGTCCAGGTTTTCCTCCAGGAAGGTTTTGATGAAGTGGAGAGGGGTTGTCTCGCTGCTCCAAGTCTCCATGGCTCAGAGTTTGTTTGGAGTGCTCTTGGGAAGTTCCGGGGAAGGCAGGGAGGGAAGGGAGGGTGCAGGAACTTGAAAATGGACTTGGGAGGAAGAGTGGGGAAAGAGAAAAGGGAGGGACCATGACAGGAAGTGGGCCGTTTTGGAACAGGAAATCAAAGGAAGATGGTGTGTTTTGGTTCTTAGTTTTACTGGCTTGCTTTTTCATAATAATAATAAAAAAAAAGATAATTAAAAGTGAATCATTTCAAAAACCAAAAACACCAACAGGGGATGGGTATAGAGAACTGAGGAGGGCCACATCTTTGGCAACCCTTCAGAGGGTCTGGAGAATGGGGTGGGGGTGGGGGTGGGGTGGAGATGAAGGGAAGAGTAAGGAGAGAAATGGCTGGGGTAAGGGAAGGAGGGGACAGGCGGGGCTGGAGGTGTCTGGGGTCTCCTAGAAGGAGATGGAAGAATTCCTCGCCCCAAACGAAGTCAATACGGGGATAGAGGTTCTGGAAGCTGAGGGCTTTTCTGAGACTGGGCTTGAGGTCTCATTTGACCCGCTCATTTCTTTAGATGGTTTAGTGGCCTGGAACAAAAACAGGGGTCAGGGATCAGAGAGAGGAAGGGGAAAGCCTTCATGCTAGCCCCCAGTTGAAGTTTTAAAAAATGAACACCTCTGCATATCCAAGAGGAAATTAACTGCAGAAGGAAGAAACCAAAGGGGCATCTGGAAAGAGTGGTCCCCTTGAGCTGGGGGGTGGGGTGTGTGTGTGTGTGGGGGGGGGGTCAAG